TTAAGGGAGATTTATTTAAACAGATATACTCTCGATTACTTCATTAAAAAAATCTTTATTAAGCACTATGTAGATATACTATATGTAAACCATTTACTACTGATGATTTGATAAAACAAAGATTGATTTTTCATTTTGGTGCGGCTATGCTAAACCAATGGGGATGTTGTACTTGGTTTCAGGGGCAGAAAAATGAGTGTTGTAGTGAGTTATAGGCAGATTTTCTTTCGCATCTGGTCGAAATTGGTTCTAAAATAGCCGAGTCACGATCAATTTGAGGTGTTAATCGATGTCGGGGGCGGTAAAACGGATTCAATTGAGGCACGGAGTTCATTGCTTTTATATTTTTCATGTCATTTTATTCGATGAATTTTCAAACGGCTCGGGTGTTATCGATATAACATTCGTATCAAACGGAAGCGAGATATGAAAGGCCAAAAACTTTTGATTGGTTATTGATGTATGTATATAAAATTATGATGTACATGTTTGATGTAACTTTTCATGTGTGTACAATTTCAAAAGATAGTTGTAGATATATAAAATGTCAAGTCTCGAATAATTCCTATCCCCTGGTAACTTATTCGAATCGAATGCTTTGAATAGAATAAAAATTAATCAAACTAAAATGAGAAATTTGCTCATAACTAATTATTAGTTACTTGATGTCAGCCGCATTAGTAGGAACTAATTCGACTCGATTATCCACAGAAGTAAAAAAGGCACTTACCCTGATAAGTTTGACCTAGTTGTAGCGAAACTAGTTTTGAAATTGGCAATCCTCTCCTAACCAAGATAGAGGATTTTCTTTTGACAGGACGAACGGCCCTAGCAATTAGTTTAATAAGATTTTACACATTCAAAATATGTTTTTATCTTAGGTACGAATTAAAATTGATCTCCTTGCATCCACCGAAAATGATTTAATAATTTGATGATTATGTTAAAATAACAAACTGCAATCATTACAATATAATGCGCTTTTGTGAATGTTTAACCACGATATTAGCGATTTCAGCCCTTGCTCTCGATTACCTATTACATATTTTTAATGGAATTTAAATATATTTCGGAAAAAATTAATAAAAGAAAAAAAGTGAATTATTAAATTCATCCCGAGAACAATTTAAAATCAATACATTCAATTAAAAGAGTATGGAAAATATAAAAATTTATGTATACCCAACGTTCCAAATTCCCTTCTGAGTAATTACAAACGCCGCGCTGAGTGTAAAAAAGGAATTTATAAAATTTCCCTCGGAAAAAGTGCTCGTTACTTCGAAGCTATTAAATCGGCGAGCACCTTACGACCAAATAAAAAAACATCAACATTCCAGGATACAAATAAATTTCTTTCAAAAGCCATTCAATCCGGGCTAGCCCATTTTCCCAATTATTTGTACATCCCAGAGGAGTAACAAGAGCAATATCGGGTAAAAGCGTTTCCTTCTTGTTTTTTTTACGTAGGACGAATGTTTCTTCAGTTGAAAAACTGCATAAATTTCACCGCCGGGAAATAAAGAGCAAATGTATTCAACAAATCTGTTTGTTTATTTTCCAGCTTGAAGTGCTGTCTTGATTACACTTCGGCTCTTAAAAATTGAGCATTTTATTCAGATGCGATCATTAAAGGCACGTTTTCGAGATACTTTTGGTTATAGTCTTTTACCGATCGTTAATCAATTAAATATTATTTCGAATTTAATTTGAGTTTTTTCAATATTAGATACTTACTAAAATACATTTATAAAGAGTATTGATTTATTCCGGTGAATCCGTTCAAGTTTAACTTCTCTTTTATTCAACCGGGTCGATGTAAGGAAATATCCTAATTATCCTTTCTTCAGCATCTCCGTTCCCATTTTCGACGGTAACAATACAGGTGAACAGTAACTCCTAGTGATTCTAGTGTTAAAGTTGATCCTTAATCCTTTCAGCGTGAAATACCACAAAGAGGATGTGTTCCAGCGACGAACATCCTTGTTAAATGAATTGTTAAAGGCACTGTTACATCTGCTCTATTCTAGTGAAAATTTTAGTCGATCGGTGCAAGATATTTCCTATTTTATGATGAACTTTGTTGGTTAATTGAACGATGAAAATATTGATGCAAATTAACCACATAATTAATAAAAAGGTTTTCGTAATATTTCTAATGATCGTAGAATTTAAGCGATTCATGGAATGTAAATTGGTATATCAATATGAAAATTTATTTTGCATTTTATCTCAAACTGACATATTATTCAGAAGTTCCGTTTAAATTATTAATTTGCGTCATGAATAAGCTTTAGAAATATATCGCTCATCTCTTCAATGTCACAATTAGTTCGAATGATTTATTCATTAATTTATAAATTTTTGAAATACCACAATTAAGTCGTCATCTTAGAGGTAAATGTTAAACAAGACTATTTCTATTTAATAAACCGAACAGATAAAATGAGGTAAGGAACCTTAATAAAAAGCCCTTTACTTGTCTAATTAAAAGTTTTTCTTGGAAACTCTAGTCGAGTCCTTTGCCGTTCTTATTTTAATTAAAGTTTTACACCTAATTTTGAAATACTCGTTAGCGTAAGCACAGGATCTGGAAGCGTAACCAATATTCATCAAAATTCTATAGAAAATTAAAACAAAAACTGAAAAAAAGCGTTCTCTTAGGTTAGGTCATTACCTACTGAAAGGGTTGAATATTCAAATTTCCTCTCGAAATCCGAATTTCCGCAGAAACATTTAATTGCCGAATGCTGTAGGTAATAGAACATTTCATTCGCAGACAATATAGAGCAATATAATTTATTAACGAGACTCTCATTTTAAAAAATCATCGATAAATAGATGCAAAAAACGTTATACATTCAAAGATAAAAATAAATATAAGATGAAGAACTTTTTCCAAGAGGAATTCTTAACGATGAGTTTTCCATGTAGTTTTCATCTTTCACTTAAAACAAGCCTATATAGTTAGCGAACCGGAAATTCTAAACATGCTTACTTCTACCGTAAAGAATTCACTTGCAGTAGGCATTATATTTTATGCGAATTTTTGCAAGACTTCAGCATTAAGTCGCACGTGAAATTCGTTTGTAGCAAGGCATTATGGTTTTTTTCCAAGTTAGCGTAAGCCAGAATGGGCAGTATTTTTCTAAATTTTACATACGTGATGCGCGTACTAATTGCACTAATGTCAGTAGCTTTTTAAAACATTCTTTAATATTATCCTTCTAAAAATTATTATAATATAATTGCTTAGAGAGAGAAGGGCAAATTTATTAACGGGAAACAAGCAGGGCATCCAGGTCAAACTCCTATAATATTGAACATACACACCTAAGGTGTGTAATTAATAATAATAGAATTGAGAGGATGAGTCCCATTCTGTCCTTTTGTCTGTATAAGACACGCCTTCAAAGTTATCGTGTCCTTGATATCCATTCACAAGTCTGTAGTGCTTATCGTTTGATGCATGAAAATGTTTTCCAATAACGTTTCTAATTCAAAACGGTTTCAAAACAGCAGCACCCACAATGAAACCATAATTTTGAAATGTCTCGGGTCTGATTCGAGATATCCCGGTGATAAATCGTTCCGTAGAAATGATAAAAATCCGCAATTTCGGTCTGAAACCTGCATCAGATGTTTCCACGATTTTAAGATGGATATTTTTAAAAAGCGCGCCTATTTAGGTTAAGTAGTATTTTATCGCTTACTTTTTATCACTGTCAAATTTCAATTGAATACAGAGTGTTCATCAATCAATGTGAGGGGGTTGAACGGGCACATAGCGAGCAAATATTTTTACGTTTTCCATTGGCATAGATATTGAAAAATGACGTATTGTTCGATGAGTATACGAAGAATTCAAATTCGCCCAAAATGGAAATGAAATCTGTCAAGCCGTAAATTACTAGGTACATGACGCGTAGGATTTCTAATTTTGGAATAATTTAGAAGTGTTACGTTATTTATAAAAATTTGAATGAATACAGGGTGTCTCGATGAAAAGTAGCCCCTTTAATGAGCTTGTAATTTGTAAACGCATAATCGTAAAAACATGCGGTTTTCTCAGATATGCTTTATTTTATTATAAGTTTTGTTACAGTGATACAGAAATTATGTATTACCAATACAGGATGTTTTATCAAAATCTCCTATTTTAAATACACAGTAACCAATTTTTTTTAAATGGAACACCCCGTATATATAGGGATATTTTGAAAGATATACTCTTCTACTTTTTAAAAATGTGCATTAAATTTGTACATGTTACTGTACAAAAGAACATTAAAGGACTACTTTTCATTGGGACACCCTGTATACAATGTTCGCAGTTTATTACAATATAAACATAGCAAACTCTGAATTACGTATTAATAAAAGCATACAAAATTAAATTGAATTCTGTTCCGACGTGTAAACATACGAAATAAATGAAATTAATATATATTTTAAAAATAACGAAGTTAATAAATTCAATTTGCAGCTATTCAATTTTTAATTATAAAAGGTAATACTTTGAAACTTTGAAGCAAAATAAATAATTCTGGATATAATAAAACAGAATCCATTAATATAATTGTCGACATGACCTTTTCCGACCTATTTTCATAGATAAAATCACGTTAAGTGAATGAAATTGACACTAATCAAACAATAAAAAAATTGATTGTTTTATTAAACATGACTTATTTGTTACTCTTACTGTTAAATATTGTATAGTGTAATTCTTATGTTTTTATGAACTGAAATAACATAATCTTACAGTAGTCAAAGTTAATAGTGTCCTGAATATTGATTCTTATACCTAATATTTTTATAATTTTGAACCCATTACTAAAGCAAATATTGTCATATTTTATTTATATCCTTGCGATCTTCTGTATGACGCTATATACTGTTGTCATGTCAATAAAATTATAATTATTTTTCAAGGATGTTTAATTCAGTGATTCAACGAAGACGTATAAAATAGTTTGCATTCAGTATATGTTTGTTCTTCTATAAAGTTAAGTTACTGTTCTTTGTTATAAGCAACTAAAACAATAAAATATTTTTCAAAGTAACTTTCATAGTTCTTTTTGAACTTCACGTTAGTTTCATTTCGCTAGGATAATGAAGATCTCAACTTTGCTAGTATTACTGTTCGCGGTAATGTTTAGTAAAATCGACTCTTTCGAAATGGATGGTTGTTTATGTAAAATTGGATCAACGCCAAGAAGGGACTTTGACGGTACTATAAAATGCTGGCAGGACGATGTTTACAACATAACTGAGTGTATGACTAAAGCGCCAGGATGCCGATGCTCAGATCCAACCGCAGAGGTCCTGGAAAGTGATGATGAAGTAGTGTGCTCTAACTTAGGAATCAAGAATACGGTCAAACGGTGGCCTTGTGAAAATAAAGATGAGTGGATTTTATATTTATCAGCGAAAAAGAATCACGATATCAAGCAGAAAGAGGCCAGGGTGTCCCGCGAAAATCGTAATTAAGTTATTGAAAGAAAGTATTATTGTGTAACATATCTGTAAAAAGTTTATATCTACTATTAAACGATTGATACAATAATTTTTATTTACGATCTGACTGAAACATATGTCTCCCACCTTTCCTCGGTTAAAAACGGTTTTATTAATGTAATTGCTATTCGGGATTACCCGCGTTCTATGGTTAAAGATTACATTTATTAAAACTTTAAAGCCTTTCAACTATAATTGCCAATTCCAGCTAGGTGCTCTAAATGCATTTAATAATCTTGAGACTAAGTTCCCTATTATAGTAATTAAATTGTGTGCTCTAACTTTCCTCTGCATCATCTATTGTAAAAAATAATTGTAAATTTTAATTCCGAATTAATAAATCGGCTGTTTCATGTAGTATTTTGTTCGCACTAGATTAGCCGTAAATTGTGTCAATCTAATTTGTTTGAATTATTTAACTAGTAATTCCAGTCCAGTGCGAAGCTCTACAATTTCGCAACTTTAAAAAACTCAAGAATCCACACTCTGTAATTAATCTTATATGCTTGGGGTGTAATTTTTTTCTATTTAAAAATTGCGATATTCAGGTTGTTTCTGCCTAATGTTGAGCGTTCGTTTCTTGTCAAATACGTATCGGAATAAAAATAGGAAAAATAAATAAAAAAGAAATAGATGTTGCAGGTATCCGTCTGAGTAATCTGCAAACTTCAGCGATGTGTAAGCAAGTGGTTGCAAGTCAAACAAACGTCAGTACTTCTTTCTTGCCTACCTGTTATGTGAACCATTGACGTGCATGCATTTGAAAAACGAATATTATTCGAAAACTCCATAAATAAAAACAATTAAAATAAGGTTAATTATATGCAGGTACATTTTGTTTATTGTTTCAATGAACAAATGTACATATGTATGTACTATTCCTTAATCATTATTTCTTATGTATAATTATTTCTTTTAATTGTCTATTGCTATTTACAGTCTATCCTTTAGAAGAGAATAAGTAAATTGGCTAAATAATCTGATTCGAGGAAGCAGCCCGGTGACCACTCTCCGGGCGTTTTCCCCGTTTTTTATGTATATGAGTATGATTTATGTAGCAATATAATTTGCATATGGTTAAGGGTTAGTTTTTTTTATGACAGATGTACCTACGCCACTGCGATTGAGTTCAAGAGAATGCTAGGAAAGGTTTTCTGTTTGCCAAGGAGCGTTATCTGACCAAGCCATCCCCTAGCAATCATTCTGTCGTTATCGCAGACTTTACGTTTCCAGCTCTTCTACTTTGAGCCGAGTTAAATTTGGCTTCGGATAGAATCTACAATCTACCCGAGTGTGTACGCATTCAGGGTGCGTACATACATATATAGTGTCGGAGATCGTTTGCTTTTACATCGCTGTTTGGTTCATAATTTTCGGTTTCAATCTTCACCAGACGACGCGCGCTTAAATTCAATGTTTTTCACTTCCATAGGCTTTGAGAATAAAATAGTAAAACGATTGAATATATTATCGTAGCTTTTCAAAAGTTGAGAACAAATGACCGCACCATGATTTTTGATCACTATAATACATGCGGCAAGTCACATTAAGTTTCTAAGAGAAATGTTTAATTACATTATTTCAAATTCAAGTATTGATGATGTATTTATTATTTTTTACTAGGGTATTATTTTGGGGTACCTATATATTTTTGTAGGGGTTCAAATGGACGTGATGCACAACTTTTAATGACACATTCAACGCATGTTCGCATACCTAAACGTAGTTTTTCACTTTTGCACGTGCTTCGTCGCCACCGCGATTTTGATACATTTTTTCCGAGCGATTTTCCGAATATTTTTTTTCGTATAAGTGTCACCGTAACGCGACTTTTATTAGATATACCGTTGAAATTCGCTTTAAATATTTGACGTACAGATTTTGTGAATACTACTGCGGACGCATTTCGAATACAAATTTTGATTTTTTTGTGTGAGGAATCTAAAAATGTCTCCCTCAATGCCCTAATTTTAACTACTACTTCTATTTAGGTAAAATAATATAGCTAAGCCAATTGTCATCTATGGTTTAATATCACTTCGTAACCTATATGCTTGTTTTGTTTTACGGATTTAATTAAAGCGGCCCGACGATCCAGACGCGATGCAAATGGCACAGAAGGGGTAGCATTAAATAAAATGTATTGTTTTATTGCGAAAATAAAAGTAAACCGGATAAAACCAAAGTGTCGGGGTAGCTTTCTCTCCGGCCAATTGAACACGCCTCTGTTGTATTATTTCCTAGTACTCGAAGTGCAGCCAGCATGGCCGAAACAGTCGCGACCGACGGTTGAAAGAGGATTATTAAAAAAAAAGGACGTTTGCGTCGGTATGGCGATGTAATTGAACAGGTAGAATTTTAATAAGGAAGTGTACAGAGAAATTTAATATACACCGTGCTTCATTCGCGATTGCAACATGGGCATTTCTATGAGTTGAACAAAGAAAGATTATTAAAATAACAGTTGTCAGAGTGGAAAATTGCAATGACATAATATCACTCTTTCTTCTTCCTTTATATGTGTCTAATTGAAGTTGACTTTGTTGCACCCATAGCCTATGTTGCAATGAACAATGGAGCAATATGTATACTCAAAACGCGATATACCTACATACTAAAGGACATCTGTAAGTTGAATTACATTAAAAAAAATAATTAGAGCTGTGTTATAATTATGGTTTGGTTATTTTGCACATTAAAATTACATTAAATAAAATATAATATATTTCGTTAGTTATTTAATTAGGTACTGTTATTTGGTTACTTTGAGGGTCGAGAGTGATAATACAGTTTTAAGTTCGCTTAATCCAACAAAGTCTTCAGTATAATCTCATTAATTATCGTTAAACGAACTAAAAAATATAGCTTGAAAATTTGAAAAAGATCTACCCAAGTAAATAAGCCACAAATTCCGACTAAAACCAATTGCCTACATATACCTAACATTTCATAAAACATAATTAAATAAAATCAATTAAAATGTGACAACCAAGCCGCCAGAATTTTAGGTAATAATCAAACCGCGCCGTCTCTTTAGTGGAAATTGTAAGTCTAGTGTGCCCGGTTACATAAGGGATCCTTAGGGACTTCCCATGTTGTGCCGGGTCACACCATACCAGATGTCACGGTTGCGAGCTGCACGGAGATTTGTAATTGTTGCTCGCTCTTCTCCATATATAATGCATAATGGGGCGCAAAACGCATATACGTTTCGCCAAAATTGAAACTGAACGGTACAGTACAGGTCATGGTATCGTAGAGGAATCGATTGTTCTGCAGATATTGCTTCCCGTCTGCAGTCGTTAGAGAGAAGTGCTATGTCGGGCATCTTTTTCCTATGGCTCCTTGTGTATAGAGATAGCGGCCATATTTACGGGCTTCCCGTTCGTACGGCAAATATACGATTTAATAAAAACGCTTCCATTCTTTGAAGCGATGGCATTTTTCTATATAACGCGTTACTTCTCGATGATTCCGATGCATTGCCGATTTATCGCCAATTCCATCATAGATCAAGGATTCTCTGTACTTATTTCATTTTTCGGTTTACTCGAGGTATGAATAATACAGACATTTTATAGAAATAATTGAAAGATATAATTCTCATCATTATTACCCAAAATTTAAATATTTTTCAGTGGAAGAAACCTATATGACTAATATAATAACAAATTTATTCTAAAACCGCGTAAATATATAATAACTTACCTAAAGATCTTCATTATAGAAGCCAAAGGCCTTTATATTTGCCTTATAATTCCGGCTCAGAAAATCGCAATTACATTTAACGAACTTCTTTATTCCCTAATGACTTTCTACGCAATTTTGGCGGCTTCCAATTTCGAATAAAGCTACGTTATGTCCCCTTCTGTAATTGATGTACTTATATCTAAACCGTTCTAATCAAGCGCCGTGCTCCTTGACTCGTTCTTAATGGCAAATTCTCATGTCTCACACCGAAGCAAAGCGACATCACACCAGCTCTATATTTTATCACCTCTCACAAAAACTAATGCAAATCTAAACCCAAGACAACACATAAAAGGCGAGAAATTTCAGACGGGGCAGTTTGATGTACATTTCAACTACATAAAATATTAAAACTACGTTGTTCGTCCACCATATTTTCGAATAGCTTTTAAATTTTTGGTGGACGGCAAATCCAATTCCACATTGGAAAATCTTTTGATGTAAATGCTAAAATAAAAGCTTATACCCACTACACATTATAGAGCAGGAACAAGAATAACTCAATTTGTAAATAGTTATAAAACTCTTTAAGTTAAGAGACGTTTTTAAACATAATCTGAAGAGTTTCCAACTACCTATTAGAGTCATTTGAAGAATAATTTTTGTTCTTAAAAGTCCAAGTATCATTTTAAATTTCCCTTTATGTCTCTTAGTCGACTCACGGGTAAATTATTTTACAAGTTCCATCCACTAAGAAATATAATTTCAGACTTTGGACTTTATTCACCTGAATCCTTACGTCTGAACTTTAAATGGCTGGATTTTCGGATTCCCGTTTTATTATGTCAGTATTTATCTTGCTAAGTTTATTTATGTTCCGAATGGAGGAGTTCTCGAGGAGAAAACCGCTGAGGAGACTTTTCAGTTTTTCCTATGAAATATTTAGACTTTTTGGATACAAACAAAAAAGTAATTAATAGGTTGTTTCTAACGAAATTTTATTCGCTCCGCAGACTTGCTCGGTCTTCCGTATAAAATTAGCTTCAAATAAGGCTTTGAATTATGTTCAATAATTATAAAGTCTTATGGGTTTTTACAGAATCTGCCTAAATTAATGATGAATATAGTGCAAAGACAGCGTGAAGACAATGTAATATTCGTTTCATGCATGGGAATTGAATACGCAATTTAACATTAATAAAATTGCGCGCTTATGTCAGTGCCCTGCCAATAATAATTCTTGTTGACGGCAGCAATCATGAACGAACTGTCAGCCGAAATCCGAAATGCGTTGATGTTAGCCGCAGG